ATGTAACACATCTAGAGAGTATCAATTATCTCCAGAAGCTACATTAATATTGCACCAGATTTATACTGCACTTTTAAGATTATTACAACCTGCAAGACATTATATCGATTTACAAACTCATGGTACAATGAAACTCACTGCCTATTTTGCATTGCTCACATATTGTGTTGTTTCTAAAACAGAGAAATTAATGGTATATATTTTACTTACGTATTACGCGATAGATTTTGTTTTTAAATAATTATACAAATAATTATACAAATAATTATTAATAATTATTTATTTCAGTTTGGACAATATTTAAATGATTTATGGACATTATTTCATCCAAAGCTTTCGGAACCAAGCATTCCAGTACATCATAACAAACAAGCTGTATTATTATTTTGGTATCACGTTTGCTCTGATTGTCCTGAAAATGTAGCAATGATACTCCATAATCCACATATAACCAAAAATATTGCATTTAATTATATACTGTAAGTTATTTTTTAACATCAACTGCGTGAATAAGCGCATTTCATTTTATCAATATAAAGCTAGATAAAATGAAATAATAAATGAATTTTATTTATATTTCTAATAGTGCTGATCACGAAGATCAAGATGTTGAATTATTCAATCGAGTAATGTTACCTGCTTATTATGGTCTGTTACGACTTTGTTGTCAACAATCACGAACATTTACGAGACAATTGGCTGCACATCAAAATATACAGTGGGCTTTTAAAAATATTACGCCACATCCTACTCAATATTCCACTGTAAGTTTTGACGAATTGATCGTAATAAAAACATGGCGTACAGATGATATATATATTTAAATATAAAATATAATTTGTTCATCTAGGCTGTAGACGAATTGTTCAAATTGATGCAACTATTAGTTGCTAGGCATCCAGATCAAACAGAACAAGAAGAAGCTGAAATTGCATCATTTAGAAGAGGTACATTGTCTTCGTATTTACAAGGATTGGACGGTCGTTCCTGTTGGGCTACATTAATTTCTGCATTTCGGTATGCTCTTTTTCGATTATGCATTTATCTCATTGTAAAATAATACATTAATACATAAATTATGTTTTATCTCTTTTTGTCAGGATTCTTATAGAATCGGATGATGATCGTTTGTATGTTGTATACAATGGAGGTTTAGGTATGGCTCTTGAAGCTTTCCATATGTTACATATAATGTATCATGAAGCAACTGCATGCCACGTGGCTGGTGACTTAGCTGAATTAATAGCCATTATTGTAGAATTAGTCAGATGTATTCGTACAGCAAAAGATGGACCAGACGTGAGAAATGTTCTTTCTAATTGCAAGGAGTGGCCAGATGTTTTAAGAAAATTGGCAACATTATTGAATACGTATAATCCACCAGATATGCGTAATTTGGCAATCGATCTTTTGAAAGAACTTGTCATGCTCGTTCCTGCCGATGCTATACATGTTTTAGCACCATTATTATCTCATTGTCATGCAGCTCTTCAGGAGTCTCAAGCAGCTGTACCACCTGGGCCTTATCTTCCAAGGAGATCTACCCCTCCGGGAAAAATGCCTACAAGACCTGCTAGACCAATGGTGCAAATGGCAGTACCACATTCGCAACTTGAAGCATCCAAAGGAGTAGATGCAGATTATGACAGCGCTTTGCTTGAATTTTACTTACCATATCATGAATTAATTGATGTTATGTGCAGACTTGCAATCAATAATGATTGCATGACAGAAACATTGGTTAATTTAAGTGCTATGTTGGGATTTGAGGGTAATTATAATATATAATATTTAATCCTTTGCACTCGGCGCCATTTCGGACGTTATCTACCGAAGCAGCAGCAGCAGCAGCAGCTTGACGCTACTTTGTCGCGACGACAACGTATATTCTCTTTCTGCAGCCGTTATTATATTATAAGTATAATCTTGAAACTAAGTAAGGTATTGTGATGATGTTTAGTTTATTTGAATTTGTGGACATCAACAAACATTAGGTGTGCCGACTAATATGATATGATGATGATTTTCCATTTATCCTTAGTAACTATATTATATTTTCAATTATATTTAATATTTTTGACTATTTCAGTAAAAAACTACAGTGCAAAAAAGAATTGTCAATAAATTGCGGTAAAATATAAGTTCACTAATAAACTAATAAATGTGGTGTCACGGTATGACATTCGAGCCATATTTACATAGTCATTACTAGTGATAGTGATCATCGTTCCGAGTGCAAAGGGTTAAATGTAAATAATATAAATCATAAATTTGATGATAAATTTGATATTACAGGCGTTCCGTTACATTTGGCACTATTTCCAAGATTATGGTTGGATGTACATGCTGCCACACATATAGACAGAAAGCACATAGCATCTCTTCTTTGCTCTTCCTATACAGTGGATTATGTAGATGCTGTCTTGCTAGATGAAAGATCTTCATTAGGTGTACCTGCGATACATGCCTTCTTAAAAACTTTTTTCCCTAAACTCGCCAATCATGTACTAACTGAACAAACCTGCCTACTTATTGATAACTTAGTTAGTTCTATGACAGCAATGGTGGAAGCTGTTGATATCCAAGCATCTGCTCATAGACTAACTGGCGATTTACGAGCTTTAGCTCTTGTTTATAGTAGCAGTACAAGACTGAAATCACCTACTAGCTTACAGTCAGCTTTAGAAACTTTATTATCGCGTACTCGAACGATTAAAGTTAAAGAATCGAATCAACAAGAAGTAGAAGCACCTTCGAAAAAACGTAAGTTTAATGTAATCGATGACAGTGACCAAACTAAAAAGGAACTACATAAGATTACAGAAAATGATGAACAGAAAAACGTTTCTAACATAGATATTGAAGATAAAAATATCGTAGAGCAAAACGATTCGACTTGTCCTGATCCTACAGATGAAAAAAATACTTCACGACACAAGGATAATGCTCAAATGGAAACTATTACTACAAATGCCGGTTCAATATCTACAAATTTAGTTACCACTGTGACATCGAATAGCTGTACAAATCAATTACGATGTTCTTTAACTAACATGTCGCGACTTGAAATGTTAGAGAAGACCATTGTGGACTTACAAATGATTGTGCAATTACAACCGAAAAATAATTAGAGAGTTGCATGTCTTCGACCGATGCTTTTTGTGTCAATGTACTATATAGGGGGACTGACTTCACACCTATACGTGTGATTATTTGTGAAAATCAAGTAAAAGTTCAGTTATATCTCTCGCAATTGAGTGAAAGATTCTTAGTGCATCAGAGTACTTTGTAAAGGGGAAACACAAACAGCAGCAGCAGCAGCAGCAGCAACAAAAAAAGAAACAAAAGAAAAAAGATAAAAAAGATACGTGTATACACATATTTGTATGTATGTATGTATGCGTGCGTGTGTATATCAATCACGATTTACTTTTTGACTGAATAACAATCATCTGCCGATAAAACGTTCGTTAATGCTGTGAGGTTAGATAGATATCTTATGGCACAAGATGTATACTTTTTAACACGTAACAATGTAAACCGCCCAGTATTCAGGAATGAAAAGTGCAAGAAATCTTGTGACACTGTTGCAAAAGATTTTAGGTCTATAATTGTCTTGCATTTCTACACTTCATCTCAAATTGGAATAGGAAGACAGGGTTTTTTAACTTGTGAAAATAATGTGGTAGCAGTGTCCTTTTGCTTAGCCTGGAAACTGTGTGTTTTTAAATATCCTTCAACTCGAAATAATTTTCACCAAATTTTTTCATTTCATTATTGTAAGATAATATGTACCACGTCTTTGCGTGGCTCTTTAAAAGTGTGTAATTCAATATCTAAGTTATTAAATAAGTACTACCTGACACATGTCGATGTGGATCTCCTAAATGTCGAAAGTCTAACTGAACTATTTCATTTACATATACTTGATGTAAAGAGAAATGTCGTTCAATATAGTTTCCTTTTATTTGTACTGTAAAATGTGTCAGTTGTATTATAAAGCAATGCATAATTCTCTCTTTCTCTCTCTTTCTCTCTCTCTCTCTCTCTCTCTCTCTCTATTTCTCTCTCTTGTGTGTTTGTAAAAAATATCCAATCAATAAGAATGATTCCAAAAAGTATGAAAAGTGTAACAAAACTACATAATACAGAATACAAGACATATTGTGAGTTTGTACATTTTGTTTAAGTCAATGATCACTAACTCATTACTGAATTTGCTAAGATATTACGTGTTTCTTCTCATAAAATACATATTTGAGCAAATCATGAAGCATTATAATTTCAAGATTTTTATCTTTCAAATGATTCTATTTTTTCATACCTTTTTATTTCTTTCTTTTTCTTTATTTGCAAGAAATCTCTTATTAAGATATACATGGCTTGGATTTATTTCTTGTAAATAGAATAAAATCTTATTATAATTTATTTGTTTTGTTTATTTTTTACATTATATAAACCTTCAAACAGTTTTTCCTATTCTCGATCTCCTCCTCTTTGTGCGGTGTTTCATAGTTCATACTTCTAATTACAAAATAAAAGTTAAATTTTCATTTCGTTATTTATAAAAACATTACGCCTATAGGGATGCAACCCTCCATACACAGTTTGAAAATGTTTCTTGCGAGCGCCATCTACTGGGACGGAATTTTTTGTTCTGCCCGAAAGATAGGCAACCCGTAATACACACGTGTATGAACAGTTTGAGCTTAAAAAAATTCCGTCCCAGCAGATGGCGCTCGCAAGCAACATTTTCAAACTGTGTCTGGAGGGTTGCATCTATACAGGCGCGTATTTTTATAATTATTAAATAAATAATTGAAATATTTATATAAAATAATTATATAAGGTTTCACTTCTAATTTGTATGATCTGCACAGATGTTTTTTTGTATTTTTGTTGTCTACATAAAATTTATATGCATTGTCTTGATAATAACAAGACAAGTCGTAACTACTTATCGTACTATCGTATCGCTCGATTAAAATTAAAAATATTGCTAACATTCAAAATCATTGTATTTTTATTTTTATTATAACGTACAAGTAAATAATTACAATAGTTTTGTATAGAATTTTTGGGAGAAACAATATGTACAACAGAATACATCTATATTATGCATATTTTTATACGCGTGTTGTGTTTTGTGTGCTCGCGCGTATGTATAAGTGTAATAGTTTATTTAGACGTATAAAAATAAAAGTTCATTAATAAAAGAGGTACGAGAGTATCGCGGTTTCCAACCCGTTACATTTCTATTACCCAGAAAAATCGCGCGCGGGTTCATTTTTTCCTCTTTCTTTAAATATAAACTTAATCGCTATATTTATTATCTTTATATCTTTGTGTTAATAATACAAATTTTATTTGTTAGATTAGAACTTTCGTTAGTTATATTTGAGTATTTTCCTCTTTTCAAAGAAATATATATTATTTAGATAACAACAAAATTGGAGATATGAAATAAGAAAATCAATTTCTGGGCATCTTGCATTCGCTAAGATAAATTAAATCTCTTTAAATTATACAATTTCAATATCAATATTTTGTTTTTAGATATAATAATAATTATATTTCGATATTTACTCAAAATTTGCTAAGTTTTGTATACTGCTTTAAAATTATTTAAAAAGGAACGAATTTCATGGCTATGTCATTATCGACATCTCATTTCATTATTTTATCAAAATATGTCTGAAGGAAGGAGTATCAATTGGAAAAAATCAATTAAAATTTGTCATTTTAAAAGTTACATTTTTTATCCTTATTTTCTGAACATTTCAAGCTCATATTGAAATTGTTACTTGAAGTTCAATATTTCAAACTGTTCTTACAAATATTATGCAAGTATAGAAATAAATAATATTTTTCAAGATATTAGTTAATTTGTCTGCATTCATGATATTTCAAATTTTCGAACAATTTTCGAACAATTTACAATATAACATTTCTCCTGATATCTTCCTTTTTATGAAGAAAAAGCTAAAGCTTAGAAATAGAGTCTTGTTTAAAAGAAAAACTGTCTTTTTTGGTCTCACCACTTCATTTTATCATTTGAAAATGTGAAAAGTATTTCTTAAATGATGTTATATATTTGGCAACATCGAATTTCAGTATTTACAACTGAACCACCAGCTGCAAAGACCACCGTCCAGCGGCTGTGTCTTTAATATAATTATCTTAATTCGATTAATCCTCATATATTATTATATTTATACTGTCATGAGATTGATCTCTTAAAGAGAATCAAAATTAGATTCTCTATCACTAACCTGCAAAATAAATAAATATTTGAAAATAAATATAATATAATATAAACAATGTATTCATTTTGTTAATTGATAGACAAATTGTGTTATCATACTCTGTCTGGGCTATAAAGTGGTGGATGGTGAGCTGGAAGTCTTAAAGTACTACCCAAATCTCTCTCAGCCATCGTGTGTCCTTCGCTACCATTATCTCTCGAATTTTTGTTCTTTCTAGTATCTTTAATACTATTTGTTCGAGTAGCTGCTATTTTTGTAAATGGCTGAATAGTTGTTTCTTCGCAAGACCTTGCCAAAATAGATCCTGCTTCACCTAAATCTTGTCTAAGTAGTTTTGTTTGCGTTTGTATTGTTGTTTCATCGCAGGAACGGGCTAAAGTAGATGTAAGATCGCCTTGACTGTCGCAATTTTTCATAACTTTTGTCGGTGGTTCTATAGTAGTTTCTCCGCATGATCGAGCTAACGTTGATTCTGCATCTATCATTCTTGTTACCGTTGCTGATACCTGTCAAATACAAACTTACATTATTAAATACTTCTTCTCTCTTTCCCTACATATACTTGTACTAATATTTTGTGCAATGTTGCGAGTACCTGGAATCCGGCACTGACAAGTGCACCAGTTGACACTGCAGGTGCTCTTGCAGCCTGTAAATCAGATTCCTTACAATCTTTCATACTTGATATACTTTGCTTTCGATTTACTGGATGTTGAGAACCATTGTCAAGGTAGTTTATAAGTTTATTCTCATCAGTTACAAATGTGCTCAATGTAGTTTTGTAATTTTTCGGTGACTGAGGAGCTGATCGATATTTAGCACGAGGAATCATAACAGTTAATGAGCGATCTCTTTGCTCATCATTAGTTATTTCTGTATACAAACAATTCAATGTTTAATCAAGCATCAATGATAAAGAATATATCCCACATTGATAATATAACAAACCTGGTGCAGTCACAATAGTCTTTCTTGATGGGTCATGTAATTTTTCACTGATTTTTCTAATTGGTCTCTTCATTGGAGGTAATGGTGCTATCATTTGTGGTGGTGGTGGTAAAACGTGTGGAACGTGATAAGGTATAGTTACATCACCGACACTATCTTCGCTGCTAGTATCACCACCTGCTCCAGAAATCATTGCACGAGTATCTCCAGAAGTATGCTTGTTATGAACGGGTTGTCTAAAGCATGCTAAGCCAACACATACAGCTAGCAAACCCAACAAGATGGCACCTGTTGTTACTAGAGCTATCAGCATCACTAAAATATGAAAAAAAAAAAGAAATACAAAGAAAATTATATCGACATCTATATATTAATTATATTAATTATATTCATAATTAATAATAGATAAAGTTTGTTAACCTTTCAAATTAACTTGACATCGTTGGCCACTATACCATGGGAAACATTCGCAAATTTCATGACCATGAATATTACTTATACAATGCCCTTTATTATTGCATCCTGCACAACCTATCGGTGCTTGTGAACATATTCTTCCAGGGTATGAAGGATTCTCTGACAAATCTGCCCAACCTTCTTTACAAGAGCACTGATAAGATCCTCGTAAATTGAAACAAGCTGCGTTTGGTGAACAATCATGATGAGGACCATCCTCTTCATTCGAACACTCATCAAAGTCTGATGCATGAATCTAAATATAATTAATAAGAATTGCAACGTTAATAAGTTCATTAGAAATCATTAGATATGTAATACAGAAGTAATACAGAATGATATTTACCAATTCAAGATTTTTAGAGGCATAAACTTCAGTACCACCCAAACTATAATTACTTCCAACTAAATATTTTCTAAAAACTTCCTTTAATCTTGTTTCATTAGCATTGTCACTGAGTTGTACATAAAATACTACTTTCATTGGATCCGAAGTAAATTTGGAAATCTTTAGAGCTCTATAGATATCTCTAAGATCACTTTGCATTAGTGTTCTATCTAGAGCATCTTTTACTGAACCAGCAAGTCTTCTGTATATTAGAGATGAAGAATCGTTCAAACCTTCTTCATAAGTTATAGATTCGTGTCCAATACGATCCAGTCCAACATACATTGTATACGTATAAGTTGCTAAAATAAGACAAAATCTTAAATTTTTCATTTTTATATAATTATAGTTTTTTATATAATATAGGCAGAAAAGAAAAATATTTACGTTTACAAGGCCGATCAGGGAACATTCTTGCAAATCCTGGCCGGCAGACGCATCTCATTTCATTTTCTACTTCAACGCATGTTTCTGCTTTAGATCCTTTACATTCTGGTGTACATTGATTGGTAGGTCGAACAGGTACTACAGGTGCACCTAAAATACCTCCAGCTAAAACTCTATGAATCTCATTATTTGTAGGACTTTGTTCATCCCGTGAAATGTCTTCTTCGCCGTATTCTGCTTCTACCTGTATAGAAACAATTTATAATTATTTCATTTTACTTTACTCACTCACATTTATTTTATATAAGTTTCGTTTGATGTTGTTGAATTTTCATACCTCTTCAGCACCAGGCTCAGGTGGCTTTTGATCGCTCATTACCACAAAGATCGAATCATTATCGATACTATTTTCATAAATTGATGGTACCTGCGTTACCACAGATTGCAAAATACTTGGCGTCACAGTAGCAAGTGTATTGGTCGGATGATGTAAAATTTCTGTTACTGTTTCTACAGTAGTCGAAGTCATCGTATGAGTAAGCAAAAATGTTCTTGTTGTTGGTGGTAATCCTACCGCAAATGTTTCTATTTTTGTTAACGTTGACATTTTAATCCGTACGATCTAAAATATACATGTAATAAAAATCAATATTTAAAAATAGATATTTAATATATCGTTCGTAATAGTGTTTACATTACCTCTTTGGGTTTTAATCCAATATTTGTGTCAGAGGTATTTTCATGTATCACAGTTCCTAAGTTAGATTTCATAGTTTCACTAGTTGTCTCATTTATTTTTAAATCTACATATTTTGTTGACGATGAATCAGTATTACTTAATGATTTATCTGTTTGTGTCACGGCTACAAATATTTGGTCTGCTTTTGTTTGATTTATTTCATGATTCGGTAATTTATCGGATTCTTTAATGCCATCGGTGCTTACAACAAATGTAAGAGATTCTGTAGGTTCTGTGCTAACAGATGACAAAATAAAGTCGTGACTTGATTGTAAAAATATAGGTTGCTCTGCCAATTTAACAGAAGTATGTGACATTTCAAATGTTAATGATTTCGTTGGTTTAATATCAGATTTTAATAACGGTTTGCTTGATTTGATCTGATCACCAGTTGATTTTATTTGCGTCGAAGTAACTGTATTTTTTGTTTTGGTGATAGCAGTTTGATGCATTGATACTCTGAAATTATTCGTAATATTAAGTACTGTATTTAAATTAATAATCTAATATTTTGGTTGTAATTTTAATTATACCTAGAACTGCTGGAGTGTTCCATTCCTTTAGTTGAAATAGAAGCACGTATGATTGGCGTGCTAGTAATGGACGTTTTTATCGTATTTTGTGTTGTTGCGTATTTTGATTTCATATACTGATTGATGTAAATATTAGATATACTTGCTGTTGGCTTTTGGGTTGATCCAAATGGCAAATGACTTATTTTTGTTGTACTTATTTCATGAGATTTGGTTTGTAATGCTGGAAGGGATGGTACCATTCTCTGAAAAAAATATAGTACAGTGAGTAAATAATGAATAACTAGTAATAATAATTAATTATTATTTATTGTATAAAGAATAATATATTTACTTCAGAAAGTTGTTCAGGAAGATATAATTTGGTTACAGTCATTCTAAGATTGGAAGATTTTATGCTTGGCTGCGGAACTATTGTTGTTTTCGTTAATTCCTGTAATGGAATATATTTCGAAGATAATTTGAAATCTGGCTCATTAATAACAATGGGATCTGGTCTATGTTGCAATGGTCTGTACGTGCTTGTAATTTCTAATGGTGGAGGTGATAAACCAACAACCTCATTAGATGGTGGAGGTGGAGGTCTCAGTTGTTGTTGTTGTTGTTGTTGTTGTTGTTGTTCGTCTTCCAATTTTGACGAAACAGAGCTCAAAGGTGGTGGCATCATATCTCTCGAAGGAACTTTAGGTTCTTTTATATTGAACAACATGTTTGGAGCATTGCTGTGAGTGCTCATATTGTGTGAGTTACTTTTCATTTTCTGATTTTCAGAACTACCTATTACTGAATCTAATGAAGCAAAATTAGTTTGATAAGCAGTTTCAAGTATCTCTTTATCTTGATTTTTATTTTTCAATGAATTAGACTTTATTATTAACATGCTAGGAGGTCTTTCTGTTTGGGTTTTACTATCGTCTTGTTCATTGTCGGTAATCTCAACTGGCATGGAGAATTGAACGTTTGATTTGATATGTGAATTTGATTTCATTCCAGTACTCGAGATAATAACAGGGTCTGGAACCTGTGGTTTCGGTTTTCTTATAATATGTGGATATTCAGGATGTACTCCAGTGATTAATCCTTGTTCAAGAAAATGTGATGGATTATTCGTTTTTGTTTCCAATGATTGTATTCTTGAATAAACTTTCTTATCATTGGAAACAGGAATCGTATAATTCGTAAGCTCATTCTGCTTTATTTCTGATTTCTTTTGTGTCATATATATGTTAGTATCTAAAGTACCAATATTCCAACTAGGCCTAGCATATTGTTTTTCAACCACATCTTCAGAGATACTTTCATGTTGTTGACCTATTTTATATTCCTTATGTGAATTTTGATTCGTCAAACTATCAAAATTATGTTTTTGTGTATTCAAATTATTAATATAACTAACATTACTCTTTTGTTTAACATTTAACATATCATTTGGTTTAGTTATTATTTCCACAGCTGGTATACGAGTAGGTCTTGTCTCAGGAGTAACAATAATATGTTTTTTAGAATAAAATTCGCCTGATTCATGGTCGGTAATAGGCCTGAATTGTGGAACAATGGCAGGTGGCTTCAGATCATCTATGTTGTCATCTTGTCCATAAGAGTATCGTAACGTCGATGATTGCACATTTTCATTATGATGCATCAAAGGTTTTTCATTATTTTCATTAACAGAAGAAGATCCTTTAATTGTATCATAAACAAATTCACTTTCTTTTTCTCTATATTCATGATTTTGATCATGATTTTGATCATGATTTTGATCATGATTAACATTGCTATCATACATTTCATGTGGCTTGCTGTTTACAACAGCAACAGGTACCTCAAATGGTTTCGTACTGTAAAAGGTTTCATTTTGCGAACTAAAGCTATTATTTTTTAATTTGAAAGGTTCACCTGGATATAAAATGGGTGTATTTTCATTTTGATTGTACGTCAAATCTTGTCCAGTAATTGATGGTTTACCATGGAGAATATTACCTGCATTGATTATTCCATAATTGTTTACAGAATCTGTACTGTTTATTACTACATTTTGTTTATTTTTATAATTAATTTCACTTGAATCAATATTTTCATGTGATTTTATATGTTCTGATTCAGCAATCTCAGAATCTAATGGCTTGGATTGGTTTAGTATATTAGAATCAATAGTTTGATTCTTGGAATTAGTAATTAGCATCGGCGAATGATATTCAGTATTTGCCGATTTTATTTTGAAATATGAAGGATTATGATATTCTATTGCTCCAGTGGGCACCTGATTATTATTCCATTTAGTAATAGATTCTTCCATATAGGAGTTTGGTGGATTAGTTTTTTCCGGATTACTTTGAGGTAATCGATCTTCAAAGTTTACCTGTACATAATTAAAACATGTGTTTTACTCTTATATTTATTCTTCTTCATATTATATAATCAATTTTATTAAATATTTATAACTTACTTGATAATTATGAGTAATTCCTTGATTTGTTACATTGTTTATATTTTTCGTTCCTGTTGATGCTAGCTTGTTTGTAAGTTCGTATTGTAAATATGTATTCGATGAAATTTGATGAGGTAATAGAGCAGTATTTTGTGATTTGAACGGTAATTTTGGAGACACAGGATATGTTGTTTTTGTAGTATGAGAATTCATAGGCTTTTCAATATGCGGCCTGCCGTTGTGGGGCCGATGAATAGTTGGTCTTAATACGGATTGGGGTCTTAAGCGATTGTTCAGCGTAATTCTTGGTGGTTTTTTGTTTAATTTCCAATTAGTGTTGGAAATAACTTCGTTTCCTGAATCTGGTTTATTGTGATACATAAATATATGTGGTGTTTCAGTTGGGACAGTTGATTCTGCTCGTCTAGATGGAACAGTTGGTAAAGTATTTATAGGTTTTTGATTGTTGACAAATTGTCCATTAGAAGAGAATGAATTAGTGGGATGATCATTAGAAAGAATTGGTGGATGTGAAACCAATTGTAAATTTAAAGTTTCTGGTCTATGATGAACTAAAATTTCGCTGTGAACGAAACCTTGGCCATTTGTTATGCTACTTTGATGAGTTTGTTTCAAAACATGAATTCCTGCTGGTGGTCTTCTATCAGGTCTGGTAAAAGGTGGTTCTAGTTTACTTGGTGGTTTAATATGATCGAAACGAACTTGCGGCACCCTGATTATGTGTTGTCTGTTGGAAGAATCTGTTTTTTGTATAGCTGATTTGAAATTATTTGGGGGTGATGGCGGAACCATATAATTCAGTGGATCTTTCCCGTGTAAATTTTGAAATAGTTCCTCTGCCTGGAATTATCAACAATAACAACAACAACAAAAAACATTACATTAATATTTGAAAATAATGATATTTTATGAATAAAAAGAATCTACCTTTTGGATTCCAACAAATCCAGGAGCAGTTTCAGGTTCTGGATATGGCGATGGATCGTCAAAATATTGACCACTAATGTGACGTTCTCCTGTATCTCCAAATATTAAAGCCTGTGTCCCATCTTGAGGAATCATAACATTTGCTACTTGACTAGGTTGAATATTAACAAGTAAAGATTGACCTGTTGATCTATCAATAATATGTGGGACTTGGTGAACGATCGGTTCGGATGGAGATGATTGTGCTTCTGACGTTTGAATTTTAGGTGAAGTGTCCCAATTTGGATTTGGTTGTTGTTTAAACGATGTAGACCAAGATTTATCATTGGCTGGATTCTCTGAATAAAGCTGAAACAACAAATAAATTTCTATGCGTAAAGTAATTCAAAGTACTAATTAAATTAATGATAAAGTAATGTGATAAAATAAATAATACATACATCGCCAAATGTAACTGGCAGTGCAGGTGGTGTTAATGGATTTGTTGCTCCCCATGGTCCTCTAGACCCATTTGTACTCCATTCAGACTGCTTGTTTATATGCTTATCTATACCTGGCTTATCAGGTGGTTTTAATAAAGGATCATGCTGTATATATTCATGTTTTAATTCGATCTTATTTGTCTGAACAGACTCAACAGGATGCAGTTTTTGGGGTTGTGTTGGAACTACTTGAAGTTTTGCATTTAGTGACATAGAAAGTGGGATTTTTAAATGTTCTTCATAAATCCTATGAGATGGTATAATTTGTAGTTGTTCTTGATAAATTTTAGGAGGATGTTGTTCTTGAAAATCTTCACGATTGTTTTGAAGAATTTCTAAAACTGGATGGACAGGAATATTTGGAACTGGTAATGGTGGTGGTTTCATTCCAATATGTTCATCTTCATGAACAAAATTTTGTGGTGGTCTTGGTGCCATCTTACCAGGTTTCCCAATAATGACATCACTATTAGCTGTTATTACTTCACCTGGTGAAATAGGTATACCATCGGCTAAACTACTGGTAACTTTGTGTCTTGTTTCAGCTATGTGATTGTTCTTAGGATTGACCAAATGAGTAGCTAACAAATAATTAATTTAATATTTTTAATAAAAAGGAGCAGCATGGGTAATTATGCTTAATTTATATTTTTCCAAAATATTACCTATATTCTGACTTTCTGCAGCTTCAATATCATCATCAGCGAATTCTGCTACTGGAATGTAGATAGGTGATCTCTGTGTAGTAGTTTCTTGACTTACTGATAAAGATTCTGTATCATTTTTACGATTTGCAGTTTTTCCTTGTAATAAACCAGCCATTGCTGTAATTACAGGTTTCAAAGCAGATAGACCATTGATCCCTAAAGATCCTAGATGTAGAAGATTGCTCAGTTGAATGTCACCTCCTTCTTGGGTTGAAGGTTGTTTATGTTCAGCAGTATTATTCAACAATGTTGTCATATTATTATCCTAAATTAACAAAATAATAAAAATATTAGACGCATCTTTATTTAAATAACTTAAATAGAACAAAATTATTTACCTTATTATTTACATAGTCAATTCGATTGATAGTTGATTCTGCTGAATCTGAAGATACACTCGTTAATACGTTCAATGATAAATTCTCAGAAGATGTTTCATCTTTTTCTGTTCCAAGAGATGTAGTAGATTCTACTAAACTGCTAGATGCAGTTGGATCAATCTGATCTTCCTCATCAAAGAAAATAATTGTTGAACCAGTAACCACATTCTTTACTGGATCAGAATGGTACGCTGTTGTGAGTAAAGCATTCATGTAACCAGCGTCGAGTAAACTTGGAGCTATTGATTCTGTTACCACATTTTCTATAATGTGAGAACGAGATGATATGGTTGTCGATGTTTCACCATCAGGCCCAGCCTATAAAGAAAATTATTGTGATTTAAAATCATGTTTGAATTAGCCTCCACTGAGTATGATTACAATTAATACAATATATTGTACCTGTAAAAGTGTTGTAAAATAAGTAAACGTCGTAAGATACGTTTTAGTAGCAAAAATTTGTATAGGTTCGGGTGTAGAACTGATTGGTGTTATTTTTGTCGTAGATGTATCTTTTATAGGTATCTTTTCTAAAACAACATTTGTAGAAGTTGCAACGTTTGTACGTATAACAGATGTACCTTTCTCAAACAATGTATTATAGTATGTATATGTGATATAATAAGTCTTCATTATATCAGTCATAGATTCTTCAGTACTATCTAAAGCTGTTAAAGTAGTAATGACACTGGTAGGGTTCGGCGGTAGTCCAGATTCAGTTGCTATTAACTGAAGAAAAAGAAATAAAAAAGAAATCAAACATCTCGTATATATTATAGAACAGATTTAGCATAACAACAAACAAAACAAAATTTCCAAATCAAACCTGAGTAATTGTATCACTTGTTTTCACTTTGGTATGACCATCTTCCATATAAGTTTTTTCCAAAATTCTGGTACTTAAATAGGTATTTGTTTCTGTATGCGATACTTCTGAGGGTTCCAACATCATATGCAAATAGTCTTGAGGTGTTGTGATTTTATTTGTTACAACTTTCGTATTAGTTATCAATGATGAATCTTCCATATTAGCATGATTCGTGTCTACGGTTAAATACGTATGTGTCGTTTTGTGCATTTCCGTACGTAATGTTGGGGATGGTTTTAAGACATCAGTTGCTGTTTCTGATCCAGGTTTCTTGTGACGTTCTTCCGTAGCTGTATTATGTATAATCTTAAACAAGAAATTTTATTGAATTTGCTGATACTTTAGATTTTTAATTAAAGGATTTCATTCATGTTAATTCATTTTTGAATGAATTTTCGAATGAATTTTCGAATAAATGTATCGTATACCTCTGTAGGGATAACAGAGTTTCCACTGTTATTAATTGTTCCAAAATACGTGAATGTAGTAGTACATGATTTTGTAACAAAATCGTTAGACTTTTCTTGTGGCAATAACATAACTACTGTATCTGATAATGTCAAAGTTGGTTGAGGATTTGAATTTTCCCATCTCAAAGCTGGAGTTGGTCCTGCTACAATAACTTCTACTCCATTAGACATGACACGTGTAGCTAGATTAAGTTTTCTTCCCTCTTCCTCTTCTTTTGATTTATCTTCTCCTATTAACATTAAGTAATTCAAATAAATATTCATTTGATTATTTTTTACGATACAAATTGCACTCATCTTATTCAGAATATGCCCATTTATAAATATTAGTCAAAAAGTACAAAATATAGATAGATAGATAGATATGTAGAAATAGAAATAGAAAAAGAGAGAGAGGGAGAGAAAACTACTTTACATATGTACATCTTAATTAAATATCCCAATATCTACAATATTACAATATATTGAATACAAAAATGTTTCTTGTAAAAAAATGGTTAGTTGTAAATTAGAGAAGAAGTATTTTTCACAAATAGAAATTGTAACAATTCTATAATATTAACAATGAAAATAGTATAATAAATATGTACAAAATTCTTAATCATTTACAATATGTACATTTTTTTTACATAATTGCGATATTTGTGTGCGTGGGTGTACGAAGGAAATACTTTGGTTTCAAAAATCGTATTACACGTAGACATACTAACAGAAAAATTCATTAGTTAAAAATGAACTACTCACCAAAAACAGATACTGCATTATATATAGATGAATATGTGTTGACTGTTGACTCCATGGTGGGAGTGACAGTTACCGTGATGGGCACCGTCAAAGTGAGTGTCGTCACTCTTGGTCTAATGGTCGTAGAAGATGTCACTTGGGTTTCGAGTCCATTCAGTTTTGTTACTATGTATGTATAAGTTCTCAATCGTGTTGATGTTACTATTGTCTCTGTGTAGTAAATACTTGTACTAGGTTCTAACGGGATATATTGGGATGATGTTGATTCTGATTTGGATGTTACGATTTCGGAGAAATCAGGTCGCGATAGTGATAGATAAAGATCATCTGCCAGACCAGCCTCGATATCTTCTGGTGTGGCCGAAGGAATAGTTGTTGTAAGATTGAAAGTTAAAACATTTGTTGTTTTAATTTGAATTTCAGGGCTATTTGATATGGTAGTATATTCTGCATTAAGAGGAATTACGCTTGGTATGTAAGAATCATCGTAGTTCAAAGAAATAGAGGAATTTGGTGTTAAGGATATTTTTGAGTCAGAAGTTTTCAAACTGGACGTAATATCAATTACTGTTTCGGGTGTATTTATTGGAATAAGTATTGTAGGAGTTTCAAATACATTGTACGACTGTATAGGTTTTACTGCTAACATCTCATCATCGTTTTGTTCTTCGTTAGAGTTTCGAGTTACATTGGTATCTGTCAAATCATTTATAGAAGTATTAATAATATCTTTCATTGCATCCAAATCTTTGATATCGTTGCTTATCAATGAAGGTTCAGAATTTGTTTCCATATTAGTTTTGATTGTTTCTGAAATAGTTGGTACTGATTGTTCTTCCATTACATCTGGTGCTATGGTACTTTGTTCTATTGATTTTTCAAATATAGTAGCGGTACTTGTTTTTTCAGTTGCAATTAATGTATTTAACTTATCAAAAAGCGTACTTTCTGTCATTCCACCATTTGTTTCTACAGAAAATTTATCTTCCTCCTGTAAAGAACTTATTTCTTCTACTTGTATAGGAGTTGTTTCTTCTTCTTGTTCAAGGGTTGTTTCTTCTTGTACAAAAGTTGTTTCTTCTTGTACAGGAGTTGTTTCCTCCGTTACAAAAGTTGTTTCTTCTTCAGGTAAAGGAGTCGTTGTCTTTATAATGTCATGTAAAGTCTCCGTAGTAGAATCTAATATATCAAGCTTAGAACTATTATTTTCATTTAGAACGTCAGTAGATTCTAGTATTGTTATAGACGGTAACAATGTTGCAGTGCTGCTAACCGATGATATGTCGATAGTATCTGCATTTGATGTTATATTTTTATTTAATGTTTCAGATTCTGTGACAGGATTTGTGAGGATTTCTTCATTAACATTTGATGTAATTTTGTTAACATCAACATTTTCTAATTGGGTATCATTCTGCACTTTATTGTCTTTTTCATTCAACGAAGTAGGTATATCAGACGTTGTTGTTTCTGTATAATTATCATCTTCGTAACTTTCATCTTCCTCGTCATCGGATGGTGGAAAGAAAAAATTGTCTGTAATTATTACGGGCATTTCATCGATAATTTCGTATACCGATGTTACGCCTAATGTTGATGATTTGAATTCATTTAACTCTTCATCTTCTGGTTTACTTTCAATTATATTAGGCGTTTCTTCAAGACTGGGAGTAGAAGTAGGATGATTATCATCTTCGATATCTTCGATATCTTCTATATTTTCTTCGTCTTCATATTCGTCACTATAATCTGAAGATGCAGTAAAAAAACCTGTAGTAATAATAGCCAACGTTGTCGTTGGTTCTATAGGTCTCACGGCAACTAATTTTTTTCTTGTAATTCTTACTCTTTTTGGTGTCACGGTACTTGCTGTTGGTTCGAGTTTTCTTCTTCGTGTAATTGTAATTTTGTGACGTGTAGTCTCGGTTGTCAGATTTTCTAGATCGGTTAGATCTGTAGCTGAGGGTCTGGTATGCGCCAATCCTAATGCTCTAACTCTCGTGACAATTCTTTTGGTGGGCGTTTGTTCATTTCTAGTAAATGGTGTTAAAGGTCTACGTCTGACCACAGTGAGTTTATGCTTCTTTGGAACTTTACTTCGAATTACGGGAATACGAATTCTAACTTTTTTACGTGGTCTAATTTCGGGATATTCGTCAATATCATCTGAGACAGAACTTTCAAAAGCCTGATTTTCTTCGTTATCAACATATGCGCTATCATCATTTAACGATCTGCTATAATCTTCCTCAGCTGGATTATTGTTGTCGTTTAAGCCGTTATGTTGCTCCCCTGAAATGTTGCATTCTTCTCTGTTCACTTGTTTATGCATTTGTTAAACTTGCCCCAAGATTTGTCTCGTATTTCAAAATCTCCACGGATAAGCAGATGATAGTAATCAAATTCAAAGAGATAATATTTGCCAAATATTACGAATCAGGATGAGTCTGACAGTATTTTCTTATCTTATTTATAATATTTTTATCTGTTTTATTTTTTTTTATTTTTTTTTATTTTTTTATTGTTGTTCAAGCGCAGTATATATTATATTCGAATAGTATTATTTTTACAACATGCTTTTTTGGTCGCAACAAATTCTAAAAGACCATGCTATACCTGGCCAGGTTGTCGTCGTGTGGGCGCGCGTGCGGCGGCGGTGGCATCAAAGGTTTTGTGGTAGTAAAAGGAAATATTAGATAATGGTTAAATAGGAATTTTAATAGAGAAATAGAAAAAGTGAGGTATATAAGAAAGGAGGGAAAGGAAAGGAGTAAAATATTGAATAAGGATTAAAAGAAAATGTACGTGATGATGGAAACCGGATAATTCATTGAAAATTCAATGGTTCTAGTCTTCTCGAAGCTGCGAGCTTTCGCTAACACGGATCTCTTTCTTTGTAATAACAATATAGAATTATCAGAATGATCTCTGACATATTCAATATTGCTTTTCCTTTCGATTATATTTGGTTAAATGCATTGATTTGAACAAGAAAAGCGTCGTGTCCAAATAAAGTCAATTTGTAGAAAGATCGCCAACTACGAGTATTTGGAAAAGATTGTAATGAACCAATGAGTGAAAGGAGGACAAGGGATAAGGAGAAAGAAAGGATTTCTATAATAGGAAGAATTAGGTATGAGTGTACGTGTGAATATGCCGTCCCACGTCACCTACTACACTTTCAAGGCTTTGCGTTGGCGTATGTGCGTCGAGAGTATCTTCGCTTCCTGTCAGAATAGCATATGGTTCTGAACCCGCATGTAAGGACGGTGGAATCGATGGTTGTACTTTAACAGATCTATTTATGTTCCTTCGTCTTCTGGATGCTGTTGCTTGTTCTCCAATTTTAACAGTACTCAATACTGTGCTAAATTCTCCAGGTCTTCGACCAGAGACATAAAGCGTCACTACGCTAGATTCAGCAGCTTTCGATGTAACTGATTGATCTTCTCTTCTATCATGAGACGACCTATCCCGTCCACCTCGAACTCTCGATGGTTTTTCATATTCCTCTAGATCTTCGTCCGAATATTCATAACTGTCTGGTTTATAATCCGAATCTGCTGGTTGATGTCGCCTTTCAACTTCACCCGGTAAAGTGTTACTTTGCGTTAACAACGGAGCAGCGGCAAACAAGGGATCCAACAAAGGATTTGAATTGGGTTGTATTTGTTGTTGGGGTTGTTGAAGCAACAAGAGTAAAGAGTTCAAATTGGCAGCTGGCAATGTTGCCGTTGGTGTGACTACAACAGTGTCTGTGATAAATTCCGTTGCGGTTACAATGTCGCTTGAGGAGTCTATTAAAGTAGTTAAGATCTCTTTACCGCGGAAGGTAAGTGGAATGACGGTGCTTTGATGTTTCGTAATCGTAGTGACGTAGGTAGTGGTACGCGTGTTATATTGCGTAGTGGGTGTACCTTGAGGCTGTAGTAATTGGTTCTGTGGATTTAGCTGACCCAGAAGCAATTGTGATAAAAGGATATTCGCAAGAGGTGGATTTGTAGGCAGAGAAGGTCGTATTGTAGAAACTACATTTTCAACTGAATAAACTGTTGTAGGTACTATCACTGATTGTGAAGCTCTCCGACCACCAAAAGTGGTAAGTGTATGAGAAACCCGCGTTGTAGGCGTTTCGTGAAGCAAAAATCGTGTAATCTCGGTTTGACCTTGACTATTAATACCTGTAGCTTCGCTGACGATAACTACCAGTGGTCGACCATCTCCACCTGTAACAGTACTGTACTGAGAAGGACCAAGGACTTCAGTACTGGGCTGAGCCGTTATAATATTGCGTTGCTCGGTTACACCATTATTTACTACAGGTATGGTTACTTCCGTTGGTACATAATGAGTTACTGTTATGGTTCCATCAAAATCTGGATAAACCATTGGAGATTCTCTAATGTCTTCGTGAGAAGTTCTTCCCCTTTGCGAAGTTCTTCTGGTACTTCCGTTTCTATTAGAAGTTCTAGATGTAGCACGCGAAGGAGAAACTCTGCGGGAACTATTAATCGATTCCACTTGACTTTTTCCAGAGTTAGTTCTTAGTCTTGGCGGTCTTGCTTTGGCATTATCTGTTGCTTTGTTCGTTGTTCTACTGGTAGTTCTAGCTCCCGAGGACTGCGACCTTTTGTAACTAGATCTAGTTTGTAACGAATCTTTCTCCCTCAGAGTAAATTGTCTACTATTGCCTGACGTCGGGGAGGGTTTTATTCTCGAGGATGTACTTCTACTGTTACTATTAGTAATTTGTTTCGTTCTTCCATTATTAGATTTATTTGATTGACTCAATTGACTCGTAGATGTTTCTGTCGTGTCCGTTTGCGATTTTTCTTGATTATTTGATGACTTCAGATTAGGTCGTGGACCTGTTGAAGTTCTAGTACGAGCACTGTATCGAGCAACTGGTTTTATCGATGCTTTTGTTGTATCTTCAACGTTAGATGGACTACCAACAACGTCGATTGTTTCATCGGTTTTGCTTGCCATAAGTTTGGATTTTCTAAAGCGACTAGTTAATGATCTCAATTGATTTGCCTGACGACGAACTCTCTTTCCTCTTCCATAGAACCCAAATGGTCTGATTTGTGCAACTGGACCAAGCGTTTTACCAAAACGACGATTGCCATTGATATTTGTAGCTGAAGTTTTGTCTTCATGTTCTGAACCTTCATAATCGTTATCCGCAATTTCTTCAACTGGATCTTCTTCGATATCTTCGTCTTCTTCGTGATCAGTATCTTCGATCTGATCTTCTACAGTCGATTCCTGTTTCCTGCTAAAATATCCACGAGGCGGAAAGAAACCTGCATTTGTTTGACGAGGTCTAGTTGGTGTTGGTGGAGTAGATCTATTATTTAATCGAGAAGCAACATTTCTATTTGGTATGCTAGGCGAGTTAGATTTGTTGTTTCTATTAGTGGACTTTGGAGTTGTGCTTGCTCTTGACGATCCGCTATTAAAGTTAATCGGTCTACGGAATCTTAAAAGTGGATTCGTAGATCTTCGAGAAGATTCAGTTGTTGTTTGAAGAGGTATAGTAACTGTTTCCCCGTCATCGGTCTCCTGGGTATATGGAGTTTCTTCCGTCACTAAAGTAGTCGTGGTGAATTCATTGGCGTCGTTATCTTGATCGTCTTGCCTAATAGTCGATTGTCCTCGTAATAAAGTAGATGACGCTCGTATACCAGGTCTGTATCTGGACGATGCTCCTGGATATATGGAACTTGAACCACGTTGTGAACCTCTTGAAGAACCTCTAATAGTAGCAGGTGTTCGTCTATTTCCTACAGAAGACGGTGATATTCTAGATGCTCCTCTACCTCGAGCTCCTGCTGTTGCCGAATTGATAGAACTCGTCGTTGCTGATGCTGTATTTCTTCTTCCAGAAAATCTTCTCGAACTGGATGGTGATACCGTCGAAGAATATGGTCCAATAGGTGAACTAATGCGTCCTCTTGATGATGCGAATCTATTACCTTTACCAGCTAACGTTGCAGTTATTGTAGGTGTTATATCTGTTCTGGTAATAGTTGTTGCACCTTGTGCTCCTTTACGTTTTGGATTAAATGTCGGTCGATTTCTAGATGCAAATGGTATAATTACCGGAGTAAAAGATTTTTTCCTCGATGAGAATGTTAATCTTGATTTTTTCCTTGAACTTCGATCGTCCTCTTGTTGATCATCCTCTTCTTCATTCTCTTCATTTTCTTCGGAATCTTCGTTCTGTCCAGGAGATTCCGTTGTAGGATCTTCTGCTAAAGATGATTGAATTACGGCAGGTGATGGTGATATTTCTACAATTCCTATCGAAGTACTTGGTAATAAAGTTGACGTTGGTGCAATACTTAAAGTTGCTGCAGTAGATGCAAAACTGGAAGTGCTTTCAATTATTTGTGCATATCTGCCTTCGATACTAGTGCCAATAACTTTGGATTGATAATAGGTCGTGATGCCATCATTTTCAATTTGACCTTCGATCAATCGCACCAATCCGGTTCTGTGTTTGGGGCTCGATGAAATAGTTTGCTTTTTGCTTTCGTCAATTTTGGTACTAGAACTATTTTCAATAACTTTTGCATATACACCATCGATTAAAGTACCAATCTGTTTGGTTGTAAAATAAACAGTAGTTATACCATCTGCATCTATCACGCTACCTTTATTTAAGGACAGTACTCCTGTAGGAAGTACAGGGGTAGCTAAAACCGAAGCTGTTTCTAAGCTGGTTGAACTTTCCATAACTTGTGCATAAAGACCATCAATGATGGTACCATATACATCGGTCATATAATGCGTTGTAACATCATCTTGAATTTTACTAGAACGAATAGTTGATAGTAATCCTGTTTTAGGAATTTCTACGGCTTTCGATGGTGCTATAGATTTACTTTCTTTTTCTAATCCTTGAACTTCGGGATATATGCCATTACCAATTGCACGTCCAGTTGGTTCCAGTTTTGGTTCTGTCGTATTAGGTTTGAAGACACTAGTTACAGTTTCTAATCTACTATTTAAAATAGTCTCGTTACCTGCATACGTTGTTGTAAAGTATGTATATGTAGTATAGAACGTTGTTGGTTCTAAATTAGTGACCGAGGTGTTTTCATCAGTTATCGTCATATCATCGTTGCTTTCTTTACCTTTAGTAGTTGTAGTTGTTTCTAAAAGAGATTTTTCAAGCAATGGAATGTCTGACGGTGTAACTTCATTGTCAGCTGTTATCTTAGCTTTAGTGTCACTAAACAGTTGTTCTTCAATCAGCGATGACGATGACGTTGAATCTGCTGGTCTATATGTCATTACCATTTCCAATTGTACAGTTGGCGTAGCTGCAACATCTGGAGTTACAACTGTACTAACTGTTTCTTCACGGCTCGTTGTCAAAGTATCGCCACCTTTGTAAAATGTTGTCCAATACGTAAAGGTTGTGAAATAAGTAACTGGCAATGTACTTGACTCTTCTGCAGGTAACGCAGCCGTTGGTCTTATAGTTTCTGTGACAACGTTTGTTACCGTTTCCAAACGACTGGCAACATTAGACGAATCACCTTTGTACATTGTCGTAAAATAAGTAAATGTTGTGTAACTAGTTTGTAATAGGAGCGTTGGTGGAGGTTCAACGTCCTGGTGATTCGACTCTGATAATTCTTGATCCTCTGGTACGGCATTTCTTTTATCCATAACATCCAAAACAGTACCACCACCAGAACTGGAAGATGAAAGAACATCCGTAATCATTGATCCTAAAACTTCACCATTTATCGGAGGATTTGGTGTTACTTGTCCATTGATTTCAATATCACGAAATATATTTTCAGTAGAAGATTGTTGTTCCAATGTTGTTGGAATTTCAGTGAAATCTTCGGTGATAGCTTCAGTGATCAATGTAGTCTCACTTTGACCGTTAATTTGTTCCGGAGCATTAGCTTCTGCTTGAACTTTTTTTGCCAATAAGAAAGCTTCCTCTTGAGATTTCTGTCTTTGAATTGCTTCCAAATATGCCAATATTTCTGGTGGAACTGCTGGTTTAGGAGTAGTTGTCTGAGGTGGCAACGTAGACGATGTGGATTCTTGTGAGACAGTAATTGTTGGGCTTGATTGAATAGTTTCTGTCACAACATTGGTGAATACTTCCGTCCTCGTTTCTATTTCCGTTTCATCATCGACAAAAGTAGTTGTAAAATATGTATAAGTTGTATAATAGGTTTTCAACTGATGTTGTTTCATTATACCAGTTGATATACCACTTGATGAAATTGGACTGGCTTCGAGTTGAGTTATTTCCTTTTCAGTATCTTCAAATTCATCTTCGGACACAGTGGGTACAGTACTAATATGTTCACTGATCGTAGTTTCGTCATCATCCTGAACAGTGGTTAAACTACCCTCAGTAATTTCCTTTCCTGTAAATTCTGAATACTCTGGAGTTGTTGCTAAATCTTCTCCACCTTGTTGAGAAATTATTGATGGCAAGATAGTTTGTGATATCTCGGTGGGACTTATCAGGATAGGCTCATCTTTTTCAAAAAGACTAGCTACTGCAGCTGATACACCATTGGGTCCAACAGTTTGCGTAATAACATTAGTCTCAACTACCTCTCTACTAGAAATACTTGACGTATCTTTTTGGAAAAATGTTGTCAAGTATGTATAAGTTGTATATAACGTTTTAAATATTAATTCTATCTCTTCGTCCTGTTTTGTAGTTTGTTCCTGATCAAATTGCGATTGCAAATTCGTTATCTGTTGCGATATTAATGAAGTATCTGATTTTGTAGGATAAATAAAGCTTTCGGTTGAACTTGGCGAAATGAATTCTGTCAAGAAAGTAACTTCGGATGATGTCACTTCTCGCGATTTTATCGACGTAGTCGTACCGCCATTGCTATCAGGAATGAAGAAAGTTGTGTAATATGTAAATGTTTCGTATACGGTGGAAGGAAGAAGTTTCGTTGCAAATGTAATTTGTTGTTTCGCATCAACGGAATCTACTACTTGTTGTACATGATTTTTGTCTTGATCATATTCGTTTCTAGATGATCCACCTTTGATGCTACGTCCCTGAGGATCCCCAGATAGAATATCGTTAGGTATTCCATCGTCGAATGTTGGCAATGCTGAATCAGTTGTTCCTAAAACTTTTCTCGCACTTTCTAAAATATCTTTTAACGTTGTTAATACACTGTCTGTGGTATCTTTGAACGGAGTCGTTAATTCGTTCATTTCTGGTGATGCTTCTTCGCTAGTCGTTATTACTTGCGGTGTTGTACTAATAGCCATTTCAATAGTCGTATCTTGTTCTTCTTCATCGTCATTTATATTAGTATATTCATATTCCTCGGTAGTATCTTCCTCATTATTATTCGTTATTGTAGCAGTATTAGGGAAGAAGTATACGTTGGAAGAAGTATGAATAACTTGAGCATAATTTGTGCCAATGTAAGTACCATAAATAAGACTTTTATAACGAGTGGTAGTACCATCGGAAGATGTCATGGAATCTATAACTTTAATAAGACCCGTGGGTTTGATCGAATTTCTTCCTATATCAGGTATTAACAATAATGGATCGGTAGACCTAGAAGATGATTCGATTTCGGTTTCTTCAACAACACTTGGTTGAATATTACCTCCATTGATAATATCCAATAATTCATCTGTCGTCTCGTTATTTATACTAGCTTCTGTATGCTTGTCAGAGGGTAAATTCGTCGTTTTGTGATCCCCGAAGACAGCGGTAGGTCTAATTTTGACAACTGCTACACCATCGTCGGGTCTAAGCGTAGCGTCACCTTTAATCGTGGTAGCTGGACGACCAACAGGTGCTGCTGGTGATGTACTAGGAGAGAACACTATAACAGTATCGCCAACTGTGGTAGTAAAATCGGCAAATCCATGATAAGTGACCGTAGCTAATGGCTTGTTGTCTAACTTTCTCTGCGTAGGTTTTACAGTTGGTTTAAAAACTTTTGGAAGACGTGTCCTAGTTTTTGGTTGTTCATTTTCAAAGAAATCATAATTATTTGAAACGTATTCCTGTTTGACAGTGTAAGTTGGTAAATTATCAGCAGGCCTCACTTTAACCGGTTTAAATCTTTGATGTTCAGAGCCCAATTCTCTTTTACTAAATATATCATTTTCTCTGGTTAAATCGTCCAATATTTTGGTCCCCTTATTATCGTTTAATTTACGCTGATTATCAGAATGATTTTCTATTATATCTTTATTCTTATCTTTTATTTCTATTTCCTCGATGGCTTTAATCGGAGCATTGGTCAAATCAACTTTTGATTGCCAGTCATATTCTATTGTTCTCGAGGGATATACGACGTATGGACTAGTAGGATCTACCGAAGATTCTTTATCATAAAATACTCTACTTGAGGTAGACAAAATTCTCGCATAAAGACGTCCATTATCTAACGTAGTACCAAGAACTTGCGTTGCAAATTCAGTACTAGCTCCATCTTGTACAAAAGTACGAGCAGTTTTTGTAAGGAGACCTACCGGAGGCACGGATTTTCCGGGACGGGCTGAGACCAATAGGACAGTAGTCACACCTGAGATAACGTTAATTTGATAATAAATAAGGAACATGTTTCGATAAATTGGGATTAACAATTTTTTGAGGAATAATGTTGGGAATATATGCCGACCGTCGTCGAATAATTAAGTGTGTATACGCCGATATAATGAATAATACCCATCACCATAAGACAGATTATAATAGAAACCCAAAGTTATTTAGGAAATAATACAAGCAAAGAGAAAATACAATTATACATACATATACATAAAAAGAGAAAGAGAGAAAGATAGAAAGAGAAAAAGATAGCCCAAGGTTTCGAAATGTCGAGAGAAAAAAATGAACGAAGTACAGTGGAAGTTTGATCAATGTTATCATCATGGTGATTTGATTGATTGATTGATTGATAGTGTTGATTAGATCCGTTGAAAAAGAAAAAAAAATAGAATATGTTGTTGTTGAGTTTTGTATGTCCGTGATTGAAGTTTCATTGTCATTTGTAAAATCCGTCCGGTGTTGTTTATATGTATTTATCGCGTAGGTTTTTTTACAACGTAGGTCGTCGGAGAAGAGACGGAGATGCGGGCGGACGTTGGAGGCAGACGGCATCCAGTTGTTGAGAAGAGTTGAAGGCGGGGGAGCAGGCAGGAGCAGTAAACAGAAAAACAGAAAAAGAGATAGACGATTTTAATAGAACAGCTTATTTTCTTTTATAATCTACAATACCTGTATCGACTTATTGTTAATGTCGTTTCTCATTTTGTTAAGCTTGATTTGTATGTATCCAATATTATTTCAATTGCTAAAATGCTATTTTGAAGAAGTAAGAAGTAAGAGGCTACTTGAGGTATCAATGAGAATAAAAACTATCTAACTGTTGAGTTTAGAGAAAAATACAAAAAATGAGAGAACAAACAAATCAAGCTTTAATTTAGAATGTGATATGCTTATAACAGAGTGATGATCTGTTTCTTAGCGATATACAGCTTCGGAAAAATAGTTAAGAAGTCATTTGTGCCAAATAACAACAAGAAAATAATAGCCGTTAGAATTTTCGTGCATAGAGCCTGACCATATTAAAGATTTCAATAAAGGAAAGATTTGCAAGACAGAAAATTGACCGAAAGTTAGTTTTTTAATGTTCTAATCAATTTTGTCATATAATACGGCCGTTTCTTTTCTTTTTTTCTTTTTTTCTTTTTCTTTTTCTTTGTCTTTGTCTTTTTCTTTTGAAGAGAAATCTTGTTCGTGTAATTTAATTTAATATAAAATAAAATAAATCCAATCTCGTATCAGTCATCGATGATTCATTTATAAAAAAATAATTTATATATCAAAATACTTGAAAAATAAAATATATTTTTAATTTAATCTTTTTTTTTTTTTTTTGTTTTGTTTGCGTGTATATATTTCTATATATTTATGACTAATATATAAAAATAATATTTTATTTATCCATCTTATTTCTATTTGACAGTATACTTATACAAATATCTATTTTAACTAAAACTAATTATGCGTATATTAATTATTATGAAATGGAGATATAGAAATGTTGTCCGGTTCAAAGGTTTATATACACGGCCGCACCTCGCGTCAACACGCACATATAAAGTTTAGACATGACAAATACAATATTCATCATGTGGAGAAAGTAAAATAGGTAGAGACAAAGGTTGAAGCAGAAATAAAGTGACTAGACATAACATTGCTTTCGGTATAACACAATATTCAGACATATATATATATATTAGTATCAGAAATATATAAGAAAATATTTGACATCAGATTTGGATAGAGTAATCATTTGTTACTATGTCGAACATATATGAGTTATATATTGTGTAATATAAGAAAATAGTTTTTTAATTTGTCTTTACAATTAACATAAACCTCACAATAAAATCGAGAATATGTTAAACGCAATGTTATGTATACTATATTTATATATTTGGAAAATTGTCCATTATAATTATACATATATGTATATTTTTTCTCAATGTAATCAAATTAAAATTAAAAGCATAAACTCACCCTGCAAGTCTCCTTCTATCCTGGAGGCTCTAATTTGATCATTGTCAAAGTTTCCATCTGTAAATAATATTAATTTACATATAGTTATTTATACAATTATTATTATTATTATTATTATTATTATTATTATAATATTCTGTAGTATGAATTTTTGTAGTTAACTTCTATCCAACTATGGTCATGTTATAGAGAAAAAATTTTGAAAGAACTCAATGTTGTTTGGTAAAAATCTTTCAATTGTATATTTAAAAAAGCATTATTATTTGTGTACATTGCTAGTATATGTGTTACAAGTGTAGGAAATAGATTGAAACGATAAAAATGTTCACAAATGGTGACAGAGAAAAAGACCAAAGACATTTGTAATTGTGAGAAGGAAAGATGAGAAATTCCATACCTCGGGGATACCAAAGACGGCATTCGGAGGCCATGACATACTGTTATTTGACCGACTCCTTTCTTCAAGAGAACGCAATATCTACATTTGTGTCGATCGGATACTCGATGCGACATCTTCACGGATAAGTAATTCTACCAGACTTATACGAAGAAAGTCTAACTATGGATAGGCAGCGATTGAACCAGGCGACGACGAGTGTGTCGACGTATTTCTTTTCTTCGGTATATACACTCTTGTCTTGTTTTGTTTTAGTGATCGTGAGTTTCAAGAAATACCACTTAGTCAACCTAAATTTAAAATATTTAACAGATTGCTGAAACTGGTCTGCTATATACGTTAAATAAACAAGTATACAGGTAACTCTTCTAACACGGTTTCGCTATAACATCATTACAAATACTTTGTACAAATCTTTGTACAACACTTTGTACTTTAACATATTTAAAAATAACACGGTTATGGGTATACCTTTATTACCTGTGTTACATCAAATAAAATGTAGAATAATTTAGCAATGAATATAATAAAATAATATTATAGGCTATTTGACGTGATCTCTGTTCGCAGAAACATCTCCACAAGTGTAATATCCGTTCGATACAGGTTGTATTACGCGAGTTACCGATTCAGTATATAAGTCTCGTTGTAACGGGATCACACTTGCGGTCCAATGGAAGTGTGGGCTATGTAAGGCAGGGTGATGATGTAGCGGTGAAACTCTGTTGCGTTCGAGACTTGACCTGCTATCACATCAGGTCGTACATTGATTAAACGTTTCTTACGATCAAGGATACAATTTGTAGATCATTCAATTTCATACAAATAACAGAGTTTATCAAATGTGTAATTTTAACGATCAACAAGAAGATACTCTTAATTGATTAATTATTTTTCCAAATTACAAAACTACACATATCTAGTAATACTTTTGAACCAGACTGTATTTATTTCTTGTAACTTCAAATCCAACGACTAGATATATCATTTATTATCGTTACTGTAGCATCTAATTGTGGCTATAATCTTAAACACAAATATTATCAATTATATTTTTGAACAAAAAACAGAACGTACATTTGACTACTGATTTGACTTCGTTTTAATAGTCTTGTGTGTGTGTGTGTGTGTGTGTGTATACTTGTTTTTCCTAGAAACTCTACTCATAATGATCGGTTTAAAAATTAATGACGTAGTAAGAGTAATGTAGTCAGTATATTACCAGTTCTCACGACAGAACACTTTCTCTCTCGTACTTGCCGCTTGTGTACCTGAATTCACAATGTTTCATGCTCTTTGTAATGCTACTATATAAAATTGTTATCCATTCGTACACTCTTCCAGCTATATTAATTCATTTGCAATTATATTGGTTGTTAAAATTACAACAAAAAAACTTCAAGTTTCAATAGAAAATGAATAGTAGAAAATATCTTGACCCTTTTATCTATTGCTTATTTGATTATAAATTTATTTTGTAAGAAGTCGTTAAAGTCTTAGAATTAAAGGATAAATAATTATTATTGAAAGAAACATAATCGATTTCTTCTTCCTTAAATTTGAACTTGTCTCTTAAACTTAAAATAAGGAAATTTCTTTCACATTGATATTGATATTGTATTTCCGTAATATAATATCTTTATACTCTTAGTTCACAAAACAATATTATTCTTTCTTATATCGTCATAATCGCACGACTATCAATATTTCACGTCGTTCAAGTAAATAGAAAAAAATCTTAACAGGAGATCAATTCCTGGTTCGACGTCTCCTTGAGTTTTATAGTACTTTCTACTTTTTCTCTTAAGTTATCTAGCTTTGCAACGTAATCTCCGGGAATTGTAACTTAACAAGAACTACGTAAAAAAAAAAAAAAAAAAAAAAATAACCAACAGTTTAAAACAATCTCAACCCTTGTTAAATTGTAGGTTTAAAAAAAAAAATAAAACGATCTCTATCTTAATTCTCATTTAAAAAATTAAAAATAATTGTACGCGCGTATAGTGGCATGAGTGAATTTATTTTTATAGTATATCCCTTTTATAAAAACTTTCGCAAAGAGACGAAATATCGTGAAAAATTCTTAAGGAAAGTCTCGTGTTTTTTCATCCAAAGTATTCTGTTGTCCACTTGGCAATAAATGTCACCATGATAATGAGAGAGGATACGATTTGTAACCACACGAGCAGAACATCGCATACCAAAGACGTGTTTTAGCTGATTGTACCCTGCCACTTATTCATCAGACGCACGTGTAGCGTATAGCAAATACTGCAAGACCGTAAACACAATAAAAAAAAAATATCATAACTTACTAACATTCTCAAGTTGGAAAATAATAAATTTAAAAGGACTTTAAATTTAATATTTAGTATATTTTTTAGTAATTTTTAAATTTAAATATTCTAGTATAATAGTATAGTAGTACATATAATTCAAAATCTAAGGAATATATTAATTTATAAATATCTTTCTATTTCTCACATAAGTAGAACATATGCATTCAAAAATAGTTACATAGGTGCATAATAAAAACAATAGAAAAAAGAAGAATGCAAGGAAATGCAAGACACATAAAAAAGGAAAAAAAAAAAGAATTAAGGTGCACGGTACATACTCGAGATTGGTTCCTAGATATTTACGGTCTATCGCTCTGTTGGTCAACTTTAAAATAAGACTCTACTAAATGATTCTTAAATTCTCAATTTAACGTAGCGTGAAGATACATATATATATATATATATATATATATATATATATTATTAATATATTATATGATTTTTAAATATTAAATAAATTTGTTCAATATAAATAGAAAGTATAAATGTCTATAGTTATCATTAGAAAAGAATTTGTTGAATCATTTCCTATCGTTTTATTTAGTTAATTAAATGAAATGTCATTTAGCAGTAGTTTCAACACATCTATAAAAAGGACAGTAGGTATTAATTATTCAAACGATGACTTCATAATGCAGGCTATTCAATTAAAAACGATAATGAAATGTTTACAACGTGACATGAAATTCTTGATATCTGAAACAACTTTTCCTCACTTAGAGCGATCGATGTTAAACGCGTTGTCAACCATAATGTAAACAAGCAATGTAATGAAAATTAGTCGTTTAACTTGACGATTTCTTCCGCCTACTTTTCCTTCGAGGTAATTTAAGCTGGTGGACGCGAGGTTAACAGGGACACACCCGGTATATCATAGAAGAATGCTGTGACGTTTGACGATATCACCTTATACATACACGTGTGTATTCATGCGATTTCTCCATGGATTTTCCTTGCAAGGGTTAAACTGTGAGACTATTTTACTCGTGCGAAACTACCATAAAAGTATTCTGGATTACATCAGAAATTTCCAACCATATAAATCATGCGTATACATCAATTCTTGTTAAAACATATTACATATTGTTGAAATTTTCAATTTTTCAAATACAATCTTAAGATACCTTACATATGGTCTTCGTTTGAGAATACTATAGAAAATTGTACACTTAACGTAAAGATTTATTTTTTGAAATAAATGTATAATAAGTCATGTCAAGATTCGTTGACCTAATTCAAGAATCCAGTGATCGTTTCTCGTTGCCGATCAACCTGTACCAGGATTGGATTTAAGAGTGACCTTCTTTTTTGAGCGAAAGTTTATTTTGCCTTTAACTTTACCACTAAAGTATTTCATTAATTGTTGATAACTCGTACAGATTTGTATCCAATACATTTATTTTCTTTTTTAATCGTTATTATAATTTATAAGCCTGATCAAACATATTCAAATCTCAATAAAGAAAATATATAATGTTTGATAGCATGTAATATAAAAATGAAAATATTAGCGATGATTTAAAAATTAGTCGATAAATAAAAATAAAATGATTAATAATCAACATTTGGTATACTATATCAATTTCTTAAGGCCATGCGATAAGAGTATATCCGTGAAGGTAAGAGAACGATAGTATGCATCGAGAAGAAAGTTGGCACTCTTCATTGAATAACATTCGATTCGAATAAGAATTGTACAAACGAATTTCACTTCATATAAATATTGATAAATTCTTCAAATATCCAACAACGTTATTAATCAATTAAATTCATGAACCTATTGTTCATGGATTGGTTCCTTCAGTTTGGTTGTTCTTTCAAAGTTAACAGTGTGCGCCCAATGCTCGCATCCATGAACAGTAAAGATGTAGGCCGAGCCCGATAGCCTCAGGGTTATAACGGGTCGACACACTAACTTCTCTATATTTCCGAGTCCTCCGACTCGTCAATAATTCATACAAATATTTATACCTTATATACGTATGTATATACTATATGTATGAATAATCGATAAGAAATCACAAGCAATCTTTAATTATTATAGCTTTCTATCAGTATATTCGTTTTTTATATATTTGTAAAATAAGATAATGATGAACATTAGTCTAGGAATTTGTTCAATCTCAAAACTTTTGACTCATTCTGTATATATTAAAGTTCATAAATAGTTTTCAATACATATATATATATATACCTACGAAGAAGACTTCTCGTTCGAGTAACAAATGCAGCTTTCTCCGCTGCGGATACAAGAAGGGAACCGAAAGCAAAATTGTTCGATCAAAGTGAAGACACTCTTCAAGTTGATGAACCAATGAGGA